GTGCTGGTATAGAGCACTCAAATAGCACTGGTGTGTGCTGGTATAGAGCACTCAGATAGCACTGGTGTGTGCCGATATGGAGCACTCAGATAGCACTGGTGTGTGCTGGTATAGAGCACTCAGATACAGTAGCACTGGTGTATGCTGTCAGCCACTGACGTGGCGGTGTGTGGCCCAGCGGGTCGGACGCTGTGTCTGTGATCAGCGGGCTGCAAGTTCCAATCCCAGGGTTGGCAGGGTGATGTCACTGACGGACCCTTGAGGAAGGCCCTTAACCTCCAATCACTCCTTGGACCACCAATCAAATTTAATGATTGGTTAGCCCACTTCCATAGGTTACTTTATTATTACATGGTTCCAACCTGTTATACCTTTTCTCCATGTTTCAACGTCTGAGAAAGACCATGCAGCCGTTTTTGTTCCCATGATTTAGTCCCGCGTGTCATTTCCCATTTCCAGACCTGTGTCTGTTAGTAGCTGTAAATATTCCAGTTGAGGGCAGTGGTATCTTAATGGTTAGGGAAGCGCACTAGTAATTGAAAGATTGCAGGTTCGAATCCTCATCCAGCAAGGCACCACTGAGGTACGCTGAGCAAGGTACCGCCCCCAAGCACTGCTCCCCGGGCGCTGAATTAGCTGCCCCCTGCTATGTCACGACGTCACATATGAGTTAAATGTAAAGGACAGATTTAGTTGTTGTGCACTGTGTACTGTGGTGTGTCAACAATGACCACTGATCACCAAATTCTAAATGGAGTCCCTCTTACACGTCGCATATAATGTGGATCATGTTTGTTGGAGACATCTTTTGTTCATACCTGCTGCTGGCGTTGTTGTTGGTGTTGGTTTTTATTTGCACCATGGGAAAGAACTCTGTGTTGGGCAGGAACACTGAGTCTGGGGGAGACTCTGCATCCTCCGCGTGAATCTCAGAGAACTGCAGAGGACGCTGACTGGTCACCTGGGGAGAAAGGGGACTGCTTTGCTCTGCAGCGAAGATGTCCACGTGGTTCCCAAACAGGCCACCTGTCCTCTGTGGAGAGCAGGGAAGACAGCAGAAGAGGCAAATCATGACTCTGTTAAGTTGCTACATAAATCTGTCAACAGTGAAGCATGTTAATGTTTCCGCTCTCTGTCCCCACCAAGTGTGTACAGGACCAGTCTAAAGTCTGGACACCCCTGCTTTTACTGCATTAATCTCTATTTTAGCTGTTATTCACTTTATATCAAAAAGCCTGTAGGCAATGAAGTAATACATATGAAATATTGCAACGACCATGAGAAGTGGTCAGATGTTTCTCAGATTTTATCCTCTTCAAAACAGCCCCCGTTTGCTTTGATGACAGCATTGCAGACTCCTGGCTTTCTTCAGCCAGCTTCCAGATATAGCCACCTGGAATGCTTCTCCAACAGTCCTGAAGGAGTCTCCACAGGTTCTGGGCACAAGTTGGCTTCCTTGTTCTTCAATCCAGCTCATCCCAAATCACCTCTATGGGGTTTAGGTTGGGGGATTGTTGGGGCCAGGGCAGCTGTCACAGTACTGCATCTCTTTCCTTGTTTACAAGATGATATAGAATTTACATAACCTCCAGGTATGCTTAGGGTGCTCTCTTGGTGGAAAACAAATGATTTTCAGTAGGTGTGTCCAGACTTTTGACAGGTCCTGTAGGTACCCTGGTCTGTCTACCTGTTCAACATGCAGCCACCTTCCTTTCTCTGTATTTCCCACCCACCCGATAGATCCCCTCCTCGCCGCCATCTTCTGTGCCCGGCTCCAGCTCCTCCTCCACCACCAGATCTCCTGATATGGCTCTGTGCAGCTCCGGGGCTGCTTCCTCCTCAATACTGCGCAGGCCCGCCTGGACAATGGTGCAGAGTATGGGACAAAAGTGCAGAGAATAACAAAGAGAAGAAGGAGATCAGGGAAGTAAAATCAACATCTCAGACAAAGGATGGAGTGGAAATGGGGGTAAGGGAACTTGGCAGTGCAGAGAGCAAAGAGGCTTATGAAGGGAGTTGGTGTTGTTCAGCAATCTCTACCTGTATCTCAGAGGCCCTCTTTTTGGTGGGCCGGTATCCATAATACTCCTCCTGCCTCTTCATGAACTTGCGGAAGTGCTCCTGGATCAGGAAGGTGGCGTAAAACTTGCCCACGGTCACCTCATCCTCTGATAGGGTCACAGACAGAAGGATGAGACACCAGATTCTCAGATCCAGAAAAGCATCAGATCCATCCATCCATCCACCCATCCATCTGATGCTTATCCAGGGTCAGGTCATGGGGGCAGCAGTCTAAGCAGGGATGCCCAGACCTCCCTTCCCCAGCTACCTCCTCCAGCCCCTCTGGGGGGATACCAAGGCATATATAATCTCTCCAGAGTGTCCTGGGTCTGCCCTTGCGTCTCCTCCCACTGGGACAGGGAGGCGTCTAGGAGGCATCCTACTTAGAGGCCCAAACCAACTCAGCCGGCTCCTTTTGATGCGGAGGAGCAGCGGCTCCGCTTTGAGCTCCTCACCCACGCTATCAGATTATGTTGCTTATTGGGCTTCAAAGGAAAAAGATGCTGGATAGAAGTAGCCCTGGACATGCTAACCCTGAGGGCTTCTGATTGACAAGCATGCTGATAATGACAAGCAGCTGAACAGCAGCTTAGGTAGGAATAACACACTTTGTCACCCCTGATTGGTCAGCATTCGTAATGAGCTTGCGTGTAATGTGGGGGAGGCATGTAGCCACTCATACGTTCCAGTATTAGGTCATTTGGTAACGCTTTACAGTAATTGCACCTTCATAATGCATTCATTATGCATTCATAGCACATTCATAAGCAGCATGTAAGTACACCTTAACAGTCTAACATACCTGAACAGCTTTAGTATACATTAATAATAAACATTATACATTTATGCTGTTAAGGTATGTTTTTAAACATCAAAAACAGGGAGAATAAATGTAACTATTGCAGACAAAGTGTCAGTTTAGCACTGTGCATCATGTCATATATCATGTCTTCTGTTGGTACAAAGTATTGGTGACGCGTTACATTAACTGACCTTTCATAGAGCCATTATAATCCATTCGTAGAACATTCATAAGCAGCACGTAAGTATACTTTAGTTTTTCTGTTGACACTAAAGGGGGGGAGTGGGCCTTACCTCCAATGGGGGGGATGACCTGGTCCAGTAACTTCATGCTGGTGCGTTTCCAGATATTCTTAATGATGGCTCTCAGCTCCTCATTTGCCTTCTCAAAATTACCTGTCCCCAATAACAGAGGCTCTCAGAGAGCAGCATAAATCTGCAGTTATCTGCACTCCCTGGTGTTCATGCCATGGATATGGATGGATCCTGCTGTCAGCATGAGGTACACCAGGAAATTCACAATTATTAAACAGAACTGCATTCAAAGCACGCTAATAAATGTAGTATATCTGATGGTCCTCTTCTGTTCTACCAGGAACACTGTTTTGAGGCAGATTGAATGTGTGTGAATGATCTGATTTCATTCCAAGGTCTCCTGCCCAGTTATACCACTGTTGCCCGCAACATGTGACCAGCTTACCTTCTGTTTTGATCTTCAGAGCAGTTCGGACCAGGGCAAACAGGGTGGCATTGAAGGTGACAGTGCCATCACTGTTCATCGGCATGTTCATGGATATCAGGCGCTAATGGGGAGATCATGCCGTCATATTTCTAAGCAATTCTAATTAATACTATTCGGTTAACCCAGTTACTAGTGCTGGATGCTATTACAGGTGTCATTGGAAAGCCCCCTGCACACGCTGGACATATCCTGAGAGTCCTTCACTTAATGATGTCATTGGAAAGCCCCCTGCACACGCTGGACATATCCTGAGAGTCCTTTACTTAATGATGTCATTGGAAAGCCCCCTGCACACTCTGGACATATCCTGAGAGTCCTTTACTTAATGATGTCACTGCAAAGCCCCTGCACATTCTGGACATATCCTGAGAGTCCTTTACTTGTCTCCGACTCACCTTGCATGCTGAGCGGTGGGGACAGAACTTTCCAAAGCCCAATGGCGGTTGAATCCTCCGCAGCAAAGTCACCACATCCAGGTGCTTAATTCGTCCCCTGCAGGCCAAGAAGACAAATGACAGCCTAACTTATACAGGCAGAGGAAAATTTAATTGCCATTGCATTTACTACTTGGCATTGCTGAAACCCTGCATGACAAGTGAACAAGAAAGAAGGGAAATTGTCTAAATGGTGTTTTTTTACATTTGATCCTGAGGCTCACAAACTTACGTGGCTTCAGGATCGTACTCTGCCCAGATTTTCTTAAACTCGTCCAGGTGATGGGGACCAAGTATTGACCAATCACGAGTCAAGTAGTCAAAGTTGTCCATGATGACTGCCACAAAAAGGTTGATGATCTGTAGTAACAGAGAGCAATGAATATGAGAAAGACAGCAACAAATCGACCAAACAATCCCACATTAGCCTGAGTGCAGAAGCTCCGTGAGCTTTCAATACAACCAGCAAACTAACCAGGAAGGAGCAGAGCATGTAGAAGGTCAGGAAGTAGAAGACAGCAAAGTTGGTGCCACAGTTGTACTCCTCCCCAGGGAGGGGATCAGACTTAGCATCGCACTGCTTCCCGGACATGCAGGCCATCATGACCTCCTGCCACCTCTCTCCAGTGGTGACCCTGTGTGGCAGATTGACAGCCTGACTATGCCCTCTGACCTCTTATAAAAATATCATGGCACATACCACGGGATTCAAATAGGCTCCTCCACAGCAATATTTACTACTCTCTTTTAATCATATGCAAACCTTACAATGCTAATTTTATTCAGATAGTGGGGAGTCCTACAGGTCCTTGGCGTGCTACACTGTACATAGCATTTCACTCAAATATGCCTGTGAAAGAGATCACTGCTATACTACTTGTAGTCTGTGCCACAGACAGTACCATGGTCAAATTTTCAAAAAGCAGTTAAAACACCACTGAGCACCTTTTAAAAGATAAATTTTCTAACAAAGTGTGTCCATTCCATATCAACACTGCTTACCGGAAGAGTAACAGAATCGCCTGAGGGAATGTCTGGAAGTTACTATTTCGATAAATCTCTGTACCATCCACCAAAGCTATCTTCCCAAAGAACTGGAAAAAAGAGGAGCAAAGGTAAGGTGCTGTGGTAGGTTCAGGCGATGGAGCCTGGGACGGGAAGGAGCGTGCGAGAAGCTGGAGGGCTTACCTGCATTCCAACGACAGCATAGATGAAGAAGAGCATGACGATGAGGAGAGCCACGTAGGGAATAGCCTGCAGAACAACCAGCCATCAGAAGAGGGACCTTATGCCCCAACATGCCTGCTGGCAGTCCCCTGTAACCTTACTAGTTGTTGGAATCTACCATTACTATTTCTAGTAACCAGCCAAAGAATCCTACTGTCCCATCCATCCATCAATCCATACATTCATCCATCCATCCATTTTCCATACCTGCTTGTCCAGTGCAAGATGGTAGGGGTCCAGAGCCTATCGCAGGAAGCTATGGACTCAGGGCAGGGAACAGCCCAAGATGGGGTTCCAACTCACGGCAGTGTACTGCCCAAGTGACTTCAGAATAACTTATTTTGGTATTTTCCCAATAATTGTGCTATCAGGGCAATAACCACGCAAGCCTACAGTCGAGCCGTGACCTCTGACCTGGAAGGATTTGATGAAAGTCCACAGCAGGTTGCGGATGCCTTCTGAGCGATTCAGTAACTTCACCAGACGCATGACACGGAAGAGCCGGAAGAAGGTGATAGACACACTCATGTTCTCTGCGTCCTTTGTGGGGGAACAAGACCCTTCAATCAGAAGGCAGGGCTTCAAAAACTGCCAGTCAGCAAAATCAATCCAACCGGACACTTTTCACAAAGGAAGCCGCAGTAACACTGTCACACGTGTCATTCTGTGTTGGGTATATTTACAGGTATAAAATAAAGGGAAACAACCTATATATGAGACCATCGGTTATGCATTTGTAAGATGTAACATGGTAATAATTTTAATAGGCATTCTTATCCGTTGTTGTGAAAATTTTAGCTATCTGATGCAAAACACACCTTGAAATTAAAAATAATAATAAAAAAATACAACATACCGCTATAGCTTGCAATGGGTTTTTATCCTAAAGAAGTAAAAACATAAATCGTTAAAAGCAAAGATAATTGTTAATCTCTCTCATTATTAAATCTATTAATATTAGGAAAATGTATTTCAATAGCTCTCTTGTAATAAAATTTTTATGTCCAATTTGAGTTTCACATGGGTTATACTTGTAACATGGCAGATGGCAGACATGTAACATCATAACAATAATGTTTCCATTCAGCATTCTAGGTTAGTATAAATGATTGCAGAACACTATGCCCTCTAGTGCACTGAGCAAAATATACACAATGAAAGATTCTAGTCACTCATAATCAGACCACTAAAAATTTCAGAACCTCAATTCCACCACGAGTACAACCTTTACTTAGTGTTATGACACCAATCAGCCAGTAAAGGGGGTCAAATCTCATTCCTGCCTCATTTTTACATTCCAGTTAATGTACCATATTTGCCGACGTATAAGACGACTGGGCGTATAAGACGACCCCCCAACATTTCCACTCAAAATATAGAGTTTGTTATATACTTGCCGTATAAGACTACCCCCTCTTCCGCACACCCCTGTGTGCTATTATTGTTACCGGTATTATACCGGTATTACATGAGTGCCATTAGTATTAGTATTAGTGCCATTACAGTACCTGTCATTGTCACCATTGTACGGCTGCAGTATCCCTGCATCTCCTTGTGACCGGCACTAGTGCGCATGTGCGAGCTCTGCGTAGACAAGGGGCGGGCCGGAGCGCCACTGCTTCCCGCCGAGCAGAACGGGCCGGTCACGCCGAAAAGGCTGGCACCCCTGTCTCGCTGCTGATGCCCGCCGCGGCCACGCGGATGCCCTGCCGCGGCCACGCCGGATACCACGCGATACTGGATGGTATGTAGAATGAGGT